GGTTGCTGCTAGAGACATTCTCGTCCACTTAGATGGAATGGGGTAGGGAATGGGGTATGTGTGTGGAAACAGAAAATGATGAAGACAGATTAAAAAACATTAACCCTTAAGAAATCTTAGTGAAGAGTATATAGTGATTCTTTACTATCCTTGCAACTTTTCTGTAAGTCTGAAACTGTCAAAATGAGTTTTTAAAAAATCACTATTCAAGCCTGATGTAGCGCACACCAGTAATCCCAGCATTTAGGAGATTGAAGCAAGAGGATCACTGAGCTCAAGGCCAGCCTGAACTACATAGTGAGACCTTGTTTCAAAAACAGAAAAAGTGATGATGGAGTAGAAGTGGGAGGTTAGACGTGCTGGACTGCATGCTCTTCCCGCAATGTCCACTTTTCCTCTGCGACCTTTGTAGCAAAAGCAGCCTCTTCTGCCGAGCCCCGGTTGGAAGTGCCTTCCCTAATTTGTTCTCTGAGCATCCGCAGCGCCCCTCACCCGACATCATCCATAGTGTCCTTGGAGAGAAAGACTTGCACTTGCCCTGTCGCTCCACTGGAAGTGAGACGTCAGGACACAGGGCTGTGTCTCTCTGCCCCATGACCAAAGTGCCGTATGTGGGCAGTACACGGGGTGGAGAACCTTAGCTCCGCCTGTTTAGCCCCAAGAGTGGCCTAGAGAGCTCCTCTGCCTCCTGCAGCCCTGGGCCTGTCTGGTTAGAGTGGCGAGCACAGGCCGACCTCACTAGGGTTCAAGTCTTGTTTCTGTGCTTTACCAGCTGTGTGACGTGGATGACATCCCCAAACCTCTCTGAACCTCTTTTTTTTTCCATGCCTGCCTCCTGCAGAACATTGTCAGAGACTGTCCAAAAAAAAAAGACGGTCCAAAATCATGTTGTTGGAGACATTTCTGCAAACTTTCTTTTGTTTTTTTGAGACAGGGTCTCGCTGTGCAGTTCAGGCTGGCTGTGAGCTCACTTTGTAGCCCAGGCTGGTCTCAAACTCACAGTGATCCTCCTGCCTCAGCCTCCCAAGTGCTGGGATTACAGGCGTGCGTCACCATGCCTGGCCTTCTGCAAACTTTTAAAGAGTTTGCTTTCTACCACCCTCTCCTCCTGAAGGAGGGAGCGTAATGACTGGAGTGCAGTGGGTTTCTTGTGATTGTGAAGTGACCTTGAAAACAAAACCACGAGCTTAAAACTCACCCACGAGAGCAGTTCATACCTGCCCTCATTGTAGTGCATCCCAACCCATGAGGCAATTGCTGATTCATCTTCCCAGATATTTTCCTACACCTGGCAATCCTCTACCTGGGTTCCCTCCTAGTAGAATATTAGCCCAGAGACTCCTCTGCACTCTGCAGGGGAAAGTGTGTTCTTGGCTCATCGGCAATGGCACCCTCTTGCTTGGTCACCCACCCCTTAGCTCTTGAGAACACACGACCCTGTCCTTGTACCTTCTCCCTGGGTTTGTGAAAACTGATGCCATGCTTAGGTGCAGCAGGAGCATCCAAGGTAGAGTCCAACCTGGGTGACTTAGCAAGACTCTCAAAATAAAAAATAATTAAAAAGGGCTAGGAGGCCGGGCATGGTGGCACATGCCTGTAATCCCAGCACTCGAGAGGCTGAGGCAGGAGGATCTTTGCAGGTTCAAGACCAGCCCTGGCTACAAAGTGAGCTCGTGACCAGCCTGAACTGCATAGCAAGACCTTGTCTCAAAAAGACAATCAATCAATCAATCAATCAGTCAATAAATAAATAAATAAAAGGGCCAGGAGTGTAGTGCAGTGGTAGACCACTTACCTAGTATGCCTGAGGTGCTGGGGTCTGTCCCAAGTACTTCAAAGAAAAAAATCTTGTATGGCGTGGACTTTGACCTCTGGGTACTGTATCGGGTTTGACTGCTGGGGTCACAGCACTGACTACCCCACGACTGTTCCCCTGTTAGGCCAGCACCCCGCTGCAGGTGGTTCTTCCCAACACTGCCCTGCACCTGAAGGCCCTGCTGGACTTCGTGGATAAGAATGGAGACAAGGTGGTGGCCGGTGACGAGTGGCTGTTTGAGGGGCCTGGTGAGTCCTCTGTCCGTCCAGGCGGCTGGGGGTGGCAGCTCCCTGCCTTTTTGCTGTCACCTGGACACTCCCTTGGCACTCACCCTTTTCCAGGCACGTACATCCCCCAGAAGGAGGTGCAAGTGGTGGAGATCATTCAGGCCACGGTCATCAAACCGAACCAGGCTCTGCGGCTGAGGGCCCGCAAGGAGTGCTGGGACCGGGACGGCAAGGAGAGAGTGACAGGTGGAGTCTCCAAGGGGGACTGTGGCGGGGTGGGGGAGGGGGCCCGGCCTTCGGGGAAAATAGGGGAAAGCCGCTTGCAGCCCCGGAGGCGCCTCCCTGATGGGTCTTCACGACTGCTGAGGTCCCCGCAGCATCCTCCAGGTCCCCCTGCTTGCTGGCCTCTCCCACCCTACCCTGCGCTCTGTGTGGAGAGTAGTGGCTGAGCCTTCTCCGGTTCTAGATCAGCGAGGCAGATGTTTAGTACAGCAAACAAACGCAGCATCCAGTCTACCAGCTGTGGTCCTAAGGCCTGGTAAATTGTAACTTGTTTAGCTCTCCGACAACCTCAAGGCAGGCGCTGTGCCACTGAGCTGTATCCCCGGCCCTTGGCCTTGAACTTAATAGGTGGCTCAGGCTGGCCTTGAACTCATGGCAATCATCCCGCCTCCCAAGTGCTGGCGTTACAGGCCTGCGCCACCACGCCCTCTTTGGTTTTTTGAGACAGTCTGTCAGTGATGGTGAACCTTTAAGAGCTTCAGTGATACAACCAGCCAGCTGCAGCATGTGTGCCATAGGTTGAACTGTACTACGCACTATGCACAGTACACTGCCTTATTAGTAGTTATACTGTGCTATGAACTGTACTCTAGGCTGGCCTCAAGTTGTGGAAATCCTCCTGCCTCAGACTCCTGAGTGCTGGGATTATAGGTGTGTATCACCATGCACAGCTGAACAGAGATACTTCTGCTGCCTGTTTTAGGAGAAGAAAAGAAGCTGCTCTCTAGAACTTAGAGAAGTGATAGCAGGGTATTGGTGTAGCAGCGACTTGGGCTTTTTAAATTCTCCTGGGATAAAACATAGTTCTCCTCTGATGTCAAAGAAAAGAATGAGCCAGGCGTGGTGGCGCACGCCTGTAATCCCAGCACTCGGGAAGCTGAGGCAGGAGGATCGTGGCAAGTTCAAGACCAGCCTGGGCTACGAAGTGAGCTCAAGGCCAGCCTGAACTGCATAGTGAGACCCTGTCTCAAAAAGACAAAAAAAAAAAAAAAAAGAAAAGAAAAGAAAAGAATGAAGATAGGAGCCCATCAGTTCTTGGAGCCTGGGGACAATGGCAGCTTTTGCTGTAAGACCCACCAGTCCCCGGTTCTTTCTGTGGTGGGAAGGGACGGCTCGGTGACCCTCAACCCTTCCTCTTCCCCTTGGCGCAGGAGAAGAATGGCTCGTCCGCTCGGTGGGTGCGTATCTCCCGGCCGTGTTTGAGGAAGTTCTGGATTTGGTGGATGCTGTGATCCTTACAGAAAAGGTGTGTGGGTTAAGGGGCCCTGGGAAGGGACTGCTCCATGTGGAGACAGTGGTGGTAGCCCATGTGAGGGTAAAGGAGAAGTAATATTTCTAAGGTCCTTAAAAATATGAGAGATCAAACTACCTGAGGAAGTATCCTGGGCTGGGGCATCTGAGAAGGACAAAACATCCTGCTGGGTTGGCAGATATTGTCAGGCAGACGTGGGCGCATTTGGTGGCCAACGGTGTTCCCAGATCCTCCTTGGGAAGTGGAGGGAGGAGGGGAGGAAGGGGAGGGAGACTTGCTTATGCCACTGTCTCCCCCTACAGACAGCATTGCACCTCCGGGCTCGCCAGAACTTCCAGGACTTCCGGGGAGTGGCCCGCCGCACTGGGGAGGAATGGCTGGTGACAGTGCGGGACACAGCGGCACACGTGCCCGATGTCTACGAGGAGGTGCTGGGGGTTGTGCCCATCACAACCCTGGGCCCCCGACACTACTGCGTGGTCCTCGACCCAGTGGGACCAGATGGCAAAAACCAGCTGGGACAGAAGCGCGTCATCAAGGTGAGCGCCCCCTCCTTCCTGAGCGTGCCCTGCAGGGCCAGCGGCCGTGAGTGGCGGAATCTTCCCTGGCTCGCTCCCTTCCCTCCCGCTGTGCCCAGGACACATGCTAGAAATGCGCCTTTGCACATGTATGTCTATGACCGCAGCATGTATGAGCGCAGCACGGTCCCACTTGATTCCCCAGCAGCCTCTCCCTGACCTTGCCCTCAGGACCTTATTGCCTCTTCCGGAAAGCCTCCGGGCCCCGCTGCCTGCAGGCCCTGGAACTCAGTCTTATATCTCTACTTCTGTGCTCCTGCATCTGTCAGCCTGTGTAAAATCTCATGGTTTACACTCCTCCCACTTCCTCCCCTACGCCCCCTCTTTTTTTCCAGTGCTGGAGATTGAACCCAGGGTCTTTGCAATGAGCTACTTCCCTAGCCCCCTTTGTCTTGTCTTGTCTTTTCTCTTTTTTTGTCTTTTTGAGAGAGGGTCTTGCTATGCAGTTCAGGCTGGCCATGAGCTCACTTTGTAGCCCAGGCTGGTCTCGAACTCACAGTGATCCTCCTGCTTCGGCCTCCCGAGTCCTAGGATTACAAGCGTGTGCCACCACGCCCAGCTCGCTCTATGTGTGAACACCAGGGGTCAGCAGATATTCTCAGTAAAGGCTGTGTAGTAGACAAGAATCAAGGCTTTGTGACTGCTCAGTTTCTCTTGAAACTGCTCAGCTTGGCTGTTGTGTCATAAACACACCGTAGATGATACGAATGCGGATGAGAGCTTGGAGCATTTTATTCACAAAAACAAGAGCCAGAAAACGTAAAAATGACCTAAATGTTCACAAGTTGATGAATGGATAAAAAACAATGGTGACATATCCATTCAGTGGCTATCATTCAGCTGTAAAAAGAAATGAAGAGCCAGGGGTAGTGGTTCACCCCTATAATCCCACCACTCAAGAGACCGAGGCAGGAGGATTCCCATGAATTCCAGGCCAGCCTGAACTACATAGCGAGACCTGAAAAAAACAAAAAGAAAAGAAAGAAATGAAGTACGTGCATGGGCTACAGCACAGGTAGAATTGAAAACTTGCTAAATGAAAGAACCCAAGGGCCAGGGATACAGCTTAGTGGCACAGGTGCCTGCCTGGCAAGTGCAAGGTCCTGAGTTCGATTCCTGGTCCACAAAAAGAAAGAACCCAGACAGAAAAGACCACACATTCGCCTGTAATCCCAACATTTGGGAGGCTGAGGTAGGAGGATCGTTGGGAGTTCAAGACCAGCCTGGGCTACAAAGTGAGCTCAAGGCTGAACTGCAGAGCGAGACTCTGTCTCAAAAAGACAAAAAAAAACAAAAAAGAAGAAGAAAAAAGCACACGTTGTATGCTTATGTTTAAGTGCAAAGTTCAGAATAGGCAAACAGGGAGCAGAAAGAGACTAGCAGTTGGTGAAATGATTAGGTATTCCGGTTGGTGAGATTCCGTAGTAACTGCGACTAGGTGCAGATTTTCTTTTCAGAGTGATGAGAATATTCTAGACTTACATAGTTGTGGTGGTTGGACATCTCTGAATATATGAAAACAACTGAATTGTCTACTGCAGACGGGTCAGTTTTGTACATGGGTTATACTCCTATCTGATAGCTCAGGAGAAGTACAGCCAGCCTACTTATCTCAGTGGGTTCCAAGTACTTGGAAAAGCTTCGTCTGTACTGAACATGTCCAGGCTTTTCCTCTTATTGTTATTCCCTTAATAATACAGTGTAATAACTACTAACATAGCATTTACATGGCATTCGATATGATCAGTGATCTAGAAATGATTTAAGGTGTGTGGGAGGCCAGGTACGATGGTGTACACCCCTAATCCCAACTGCTGGGAAGCTGAAGCAGGAGGATTGCAAGTTCAAGGCCAGGTGGGCTAATGTAGCAAGATCCCCATTTCAAAATAAAGTTAAGTTCAGAGGTGGGTATGGTGGCACACACTTGTAATCACAGCACTCCGAGAGGTGGAGCCAGGGTTATTAAAAGTTTGAGCCCTGCCTGGGTTATTTATTTATTTATTTATTTAGTCTTTTTGAGACAAGGTCTCACTATGCAGTTCAGGCTGGCCTTGAGCTCACTTTGTAGCCCAGGCTGGCCTCGAACTCACAATAATCCTCCTGCCTCAGCCTCCCGAGTGGTG